ACACACACACACACACACACACACACACACACACACACACACACACATTATCGCATCCTTTCGTGCCCATACACAAATCAAGCATAAAGCACGCACATTGAGATGCCCCCATGCACCTATGGCCTGGTGCACGAAAGAGCAGACACTCACACATGCATCCCTAATCCACAGCTGGATAAGGGGCCCCATGAGCCCGGGAGCAAAAACTGATCCCCCATGCCCCGTCTCCTCATGCGACTCCAGTCATGTTTCTATTCCCCCCCCTCCCCTCCTATTCCCATCCCTTTATCCATCCACCCATCCTTGACATGCAACACCCTCCCCCCCTTCCCCTTGGTGGCCTGGAGAGTCCTGATAAAACCCCATCTGTCTGGGAGCAATCCACTACCCCCCTGTGCATGTGCAAGCATTTGGAAAAGAGAAGAATTCAATTTGTATTTGGTTTAAAATGGAGGGCTTTTAATGTCCCTAGATTTAAAATGCTTTTCATCCACTAAGAAAGAAAAAACTCATAGCATATGCATAGATGTAAATTGACCCTGTGTCTGCATTTCTTTTTGGTTTTTTTGGCCAGAATATAGCATCCGTTAGCACCTTGGCTCCCCAACACAGGCTGTGCCCTTAAATCCCTCGGGCTTTCTTGGCCCTCAGCTGCCAGCTAAACCGGGCCACCCGCTGCGAACAAGCTTACCGCGCCCAGAAAAACAAATACGGTACAGTAAGAGAAGATGGGGAGAGAGCTGAAGAGAGGATAGGGAGAGGTGAGGAGGAGGAAGAGGGTAGCTGTGATTATGTCAAGACAGGCGGCGAGATAAAAAACAAAAAAGGGGATGATGGTGGTTTTGGATGGAGTGGCAGCATCAGGAGGGAGGGAGAGAAATGACCATCTAAGAATAGTGAGTTTAACAGGAAAGGATAAGGTGGGGGAAATGAGGAAGGAAATAGAAGGTTTAAAAAAAAGAAAAAGGAGATCGGAACACAGAGGGAACGAGGAGGTATGAGGGGAAAAAAAGGTAATAAAGAGATGATGAGGTGGCAAGAGAGAAAGGGAAAGTGAGAGAGCGTGTGTTAGCTTTGTTCCACATCCCTGCTGCAGTATTCATAAAGGTCAGTGAGTTTTGATGGTGTAAAGACTCGGTGTGGAGGCTGCACTCACATGTACGGACACAAGGTTGAGGTTTGTCCACGGATGGTTTTATTTCTTTTCAATTCTGTGCCTGACCTGGCTGCACAGGACTTTCTTTGACTGGCTGAGCTACAATGTTATCTATGGGGCTTATCCTGCAGCAACACTATGACACACAGAGTCCGTATTTAGTTTGAGGCAGTGGATCATAAAAAGGGAACAAAAACATTACGGGTCCATCACCGTTTCTCTGAGTTTTTCTCGTCTCCTGTGGCAACAGATAACCCAACGCTGAAACGTCAAGACTTAAGAGCGGAAGTGGTGTTAATGTTTATGATTGAGATATGGATTAAGATTGTTTACTCCTTTTTTTAAATATATTTTTTATATTCGAACCGACTGCAAGACCAGTATAAATAGAAACAACAAGAAAGAGACCGGGAGATAAAGTGCGTTTCACGTGTGTGCACGGGCCACAGTCCTCTCTGGCGTCTGAGCATTAGTTATTAGAAAATGTCTAGTTTTGTGTAGGTTATTAATATTAGCAGTGATGCAATAGTGCAAACATGTGATGCAGATAAGGCAACAGCGTTATAGTCTTCAACCTGCAGTGTTTTTGACGGATTGGTTCGACCTCACTTGGCCCGAGGGGAGAGGTGTCCATTGAAGAGAGCGGGCAAGAGGGCTCGGGTGACCTTCAGTCTGTTAGCTGTTGATCTGAACCATGCTCAGCCGGCATTGTGTGGAAACCACAGGGCGCTTTAACTAAAGCTGACGCGCGACTGGTTAAGTCAGGAGAGGTAAGACAAGACGCACGTAGTGTAATTCTAAAGGAAATACCTGTCTCCCTCACATTCTCTCACACACACACACACACACACACACACACACACACACACACACACACGGGCAGCATTAAACCCCCCACACCAAATGTCAGGCTAAATCCTCCCTGACACAGAAAGTCTTCTGAAACCTCGGCAAACACACTCCCCTAACCCCTTGTCCAATCCCTCTGGATGACACAGTTAGAGGGACGACTCGCAGCCTAATACCCCATAATAACCACAAATCAACGCCGTGGCAACTGCTGACGAGACAGACGGACAGAGAAGAGGGGAGATAAAAGTGAGAAAGGTTGAAAGAAATGTGGGGACGGGAAAAAATAATCACCCGAGGTTTGTCCTTTTTCCTCATACAGTGTCCCTAACCTTGGAGCTCGGAGGGTTTTTGGTCACCTAAATCCCCTCAGGGAGCTGGAGACTGCTGTGTTGGGGCTTTTTTGCCATGTTCGCGTCAGCCGAGCCATCGTACATTTCAAGTGATGTCACATAAAAGGTGTCAAGTATGACACATCTGGTAAAAGAAAATTTTTCTCAGGATGTGGTGCACTAAACAAGACTCAAACGGAAAGTTCACACTGGATTGAAGTTAACAGGTGGACAGAAATACGACTAAAATAACATGATGACCATGATGTTCCTTGTCTGCTGCATGTGCAAGAAGGCAAATGTTCGCTAAAACATTCGCTAAAAAAACTTTTTGCGTTTTATAGTCTATTTTGTCTCTAACCCTGACAAATATTGCTTAATGCAGCTTCAAGTTATAAAACACTAAGTGGAATGCAAGCATACTGAAAGGGTGCACAGATTGTAAAGCCCTCTGAGGCGGATCACAGATTAGCTTAAGAGGGGTGATTTTGGACTATAAAAATAAATTGAATTGAATTGAATACGAGGTTGTTTCTGGTAAGGCTTTCTTTCATGTGTGGTGCGGTTGCAAATGGCCCACAATGCAAAACTTTTTCTTCTACACTCATGGTTGCACAAATACAGACTCAGTGCGCATCAAGTCTGGGACATTTGTCAAATATGTCGGGGTATTTCACACACTGGGCACCAGCTAAAATCCTGCCTAGGGCACCACGTAGGTCTGCAGCGCGGCACAGAGATCGAGTGCATGCACATTAAGCCGTCTTCTTAGGCTCTCACTCACTCTATGTGGTCCTGATGTCCAGATGTTACTCTGACGTAACATTTACAGTTGGCCAACAAGAGAATCTGGGCCACTGGGAAGTACACTCATCCAATATAAATACGCCCAACATCAATCTCCTTAAAGCGGCCATCTTTGTAGCCAGCACAGAGAGGCACAATCTCAATCATGAACCCCTCTTTCAACATATGGAAAAACGCAATTTATGTCTTTTTACACATGCAAAACTCTTACTTCCTTACTGTAACAATGTGAGAGTTCATGGTAAACACAGTGTTATAGCAACAACTGAAACTAACCTGAGACCCACAGTGCTGCTTCCCCCTCATCACTCAGATATGACCAACTGTTCTCCATTCATTATGCAGCTCATTTCTTCTCAGCTAATTCCCAATCAGTGGCAAAAACCCACACCGCCGTTCTCACTTTCTCATTGTTTCTCCGTCACCTGCTTCCACGTGCAGCACCTTTCAGTCCCTCTGCCCCCATACATGCCTCATTATGCCATCACTCCGGTCAGACTAATACTTATTTCAGCCAATAAGGAGTAAACAAGCTTTTAAACAAAAGATGCACATTAGGTACGACAGGTATTTGTGTATTAGAGAGTGTTTGTCAACGTTCAAGCCCAGAATGTGTTCAGTGTTTGGTCTTTTCACACTTGAGCGCCTCCATATAGTGCCGTTGCAGAACTGGTTGACAGGGCTAGTTGGCAAAGTGCTTTTCAAGCCCCTGGCTAATGGCCTGCTGAAGACTTCTGCTGATGAAAATGAGATCACCTCGACCGGGCGAGACATTTTGCTCCGTCTGCAATGGCGGGCAGAGCGTGGGGGAGGGCGCCTGCGTGCGTACACACAAACAAAGAGTCAGTCTGCTGGACGGACATTTGCATTTGTGAATGCCTCACTGTATGTGTGAACAGGACCCGCCTGCTGACGCATGCATGTTGAAAATCGACATGGATTACGAGCGTATTCAAAGGTCACCGTGTGTCAGAGTGTGCATGAATCTATTTATGAACAGAGGCGTACGCGGCACCTGCAAGTCTGCACTTGCGTGTGTGAGACAGCCAATCCGAGCTGAGTTCCGCTGACGTTATAAGAAATGAATGTGCTTTTATGAAACAAAACCTTAAAAATCGTATCGCGAAGGTCATACATTTATTGTGTGAGGCTATTGTTATGTTTTATTTCTCTTTAGGCTGCCTTGTAACGGATCACAAAAGATTACATCCTGTAAGAACCAAACCCACTTATGAAGTTAATATTTTTTTCCCAAAGCCAGCTTTTAAAGATTAAGACTAAAGACTAAAATATGGTTCTCACCTTGCGCATGCTGTCATGTGCGGGTGTTATTAAAAGGTCTAACTGGCTAGTGACTCACCTGGCAGGCTTGTGGACACATTGACCTGGGTGTAGAACCTCTTGCTGGGCAGCAGCTCCGACACGCCGTTCAAGGCCTCGACGGTGAACGTGTAGTTGGTGTTGGGGAGGAGGTTGACCACGGTCACCGTTCTTTCCATCAGGCCGACCTGCTGGGGCACGAAACCGATGCTCGCCCCGCACGGCTCGCACTGCCTGCCGACGCACCTCCGGCAGCCCACGCTGTAGGTCAGATCCACCCTGCCTCCTGCGTCGGACGGCGCGGCCCACTCCAAGATCAGCGTGGACTGCTTCAGGGTGTAGACCAAGTCTCTGGGCGGCGAGGGGGGCCCTGCAGAGACAAGAGTAAGAGAGTTGCATTTTGGTTCATTGTTCATGCATTGTTGCATCCCTCTTTTTTGAGGACAAACAAAGACAGAAACAGTTGTTATGAACATCAATACTTAATCAAACATATCCTCGCTTGTTACACAACAATTGAAATTGACAAAAGGATTTTACTTAGTCTAATCATATCACAACTACACGCCATGCCGATCACAGCAGCAGCCTTCTTTACTCCCAAATGCTACACTCACTTCCTATCATCTACTTATTATAACCTCTGTAACTGTTAATGTAAAGCTGGGCATTTCTGGAAAAGGGGCTCATATAAAACTTCCCAGGATAATTAAAAGCAATACCATATTTAACTAACATACGCAGCATTTCCACTGCGTGGTACGATACTTTACTCAACTTAACTGGCTCTTTTTTTGGTTTTTCTTTGGCAAAGAGTTGTGGATAATACCTGGTACTCTTTTTTTTGGTTCCAAGGTTCCAAGAGAGCTGAGTCGATACTACGAGGTGGAGATAAAAAAAACTACTGATTGGTCAGAGAGAATCACTACTAGTGCAACATGGGAAATCCTGCCAAAAAGCCGCTGTTTTTTTAAAAAAGCCAAGCCACCATCAATAGCAACCGCAAGTGTGTTTATTCGCTCGAAACAGATAATTTTTTTTTTTTTTTTTAAAAGGAAGTCGAGTTGAGCCATTCAATAGTCTACTCAAACATCATGTTGCCGAAGCGCGACGTCTCTTCTCATGACTGACGCCTTAAGTGCATTGGGTATTACGGGGTGATTGCATGGGCTCAGTTTGCACATCATGCTACGATAATCCTGCTCCATCCAGGATTTGGTGATGAGAAACAATTGGTTTGATGAAAACCATTTGACCCAAATGGCAGTAGGCGATTGGAAATGTGGAGTTGTTGCTGGGATACGACAGTGTATTGCTGCACTATGTTTGGTTTGGCGGTGGGAGGGAAAACATTTATTGGATTGGGCTTGAGGAGGGATTATTGATGATGCGGGGAAAAACACTTGGGAATGAGACGAGGACTAAATGCAGTAGCCGTGTGTTTCGATGGCTTAAGAGTACCTTTTGTCTGAACATGTGCGTGCGTGAGCATGGAGAACAAATTTGTCCATTATGTACCGATGTCAACAGTGCTGCGTGGAACAAATCCTCCACTTACCATCAGTAAACAAAAAGGTGAGTGACCATGGAGAAGGCTTTTAGCTCTCCCAGAACATCACTCTCATTTCATATGAGGATTGTGAAATGCCAGACGCATAACGAGAGTCTGAGCCGCTCACGGTAGAGGCTGTGTATGTCACGATGTGTGGTGGGTTTGCTGAAAAACATGGGACTATTCTATGAACACAACACTGCCTGGTGCACAGGGCTTTGTGTGCAATTTAAAACCTCAAGTGTTTTAAAACCATCCACCACATGTGACAAGGAGAGCTCAAATGTAAATATACAGTCCTGTATTTAAAAGGACTGTATCTCATCACTTAGTCAGCATCCTGACTGACCTCTGCTTCCTCTTGCAGGTTCTTGCACATGCCGGCTGAATGAAGCTGAGGTCCATTAAAGGCCATGAATTTTATACGTGTCCCTGTGTGTGTGTGTGTGTGTGTGTGTGTGTGTATGCGTGCGTGTGCTGTGTAATGAATAAGTGAAGGTGTGCGCGCTGTCGAACGCGCCGCACGTCGCAGATGCGTCCCGCTCCCAGACACACATGGACTCAGAGTTACATAAACCCGGAGAGCATTCGGCGTGTGAACACACCTACTCTCAGATGAAACGTAGACACAGCTGGGCCTTTCGCGCCTTCTCGGCCCTGTGCTCCCTCTTCCTCTTGAAGTTTCCCATTTTTCTCTCCGACCCTATTAAAACCTGACCTCCCAAACCATTTTGCTCCTCTCTTTCCCATCTTCTGCCCTCCTTCACTCTCCATCCGTCTCCGTCTTCAGAGTCCCCCTGTCCATCCGAATGACTCTTTGACTCCCGCTCCACTGCTCCTCCAACATACTGAATCACAGCAAATCAAAACTTGCTCTTGATGTTGTATTTAGAATATTGCCATTAAAGCCTATGAAGTGTCTGCATGTATGCATCTCTCTGAGCCAGAAGCTAAAACAAAGTGGAAGATTTGAATGACTCAAAAAATGATGCCATTGTTGGACACCATTGTCCATGGGGGACAATAAAAGTATGCGTTGTAGCAGTTGCGGTAGAGGGACAGTAAACCAGTTACTGTGTACAAAAAGGATTGAATGCAGGTTTGGTTTCACTGGAGAAGTTTTGAGACGATATGAAAAACGATGTTTGTTTTGGACAAGCAAGAATATAATTGCAATATATCTATATATATGTACTATGTTAGCTAGCATGGTTAGCTAGCTAACTTTAGCCAGAGACAGATTTCTTCAGTAGCCTGTATCTGCTCCCCCCTCTTAGAAAAGAATTAGATCACAGACGTGTAAGATTTGTACCGTATTATAATGGAGTTAAGTTTCATGACCAGAGATTCACATGTACAGTGAACAACATGTTCATTCTAAATAAGTTCAAGTTTGCATTTCTCAAAGTCAAAAGTTAAAACTGTTATGCTGCAACTTTATTCTTCCTCCTGGAAGGCATCGGCTCCCACTGTTTTCAAAAATCCATTTGCAGACACGCACATTGACAAACATTATGCATTACTTGAATACATATATATATATATTTTTTCTTATAGTTATTATGCTACAATCATTACCACTGCGGCCCTGTCAGCGGCAGTTCCACTCTGAAAACAAAGACATATTTCTGTGTCCCCAGTGACACGTTTTCTTTCACTGCTTCCAAAGTTGTACTTTGCCTCATCACTGCCACATCGAAATATCTAATGTGCTGTAATGGAACATTTGTAAATAGTCGTCATTAACAATGGTAATTAGTCATGTCGGGGAGTATTAAAAGCCGTATGTTTTTTCCACCGGTTTCAAATAAAACCATTAAGAGTTTATTATTTCAAAGAGAGAGCCGACACCGTAGGATGTAGGTACTTCAAGGGCATTGATGGCAAAGGGAAAAGAATGAAACTACACCGGTATTATTCCTTAATTGCTCAGATAATAAAGTGTGCATATTAAACCTCATTCGTCTAACAAAGTCTCCCTTTTTCTTTCATTCTTCGAGCTCTAGATTCTTCCTCTCTCTTTTTACGTCCGTAGCAGGCAGTGGATTAGCCAAATCTGGGGATGATCATAATTAGCGAATCAATAGTGTAATTAATTGTGGTCATTAGGCTGCGATAAATGTTATCACACCGGGATCAGAGAGCTCGGCGATCAATATTGTAATTACACCTCCTCCAACGCAATTACCATAAAAGACAGTATGACCACACACACACACGCGTGCGCGAGCGAGTGTGAATGCACACAAACACGCACGCACAGACCTTGTGACCCCACGGTTTTACTGCCCTGCTCACAGGCTATGGAGCCCATTATTCCTCCATCTAATTACTAAGCCATATCAATAGGCTGCTCTCCATGCAGGAATCAATAGGGCTACACCCTGCGTGCTCTTTGTCTTATCGGCCTTGTAGTGCATCTTTATTGGAGAAGAACGGCATTCGGTATGTGAGAAGAGGGGTGAGAAAAGGTAAGAGGTGAGGGCTGGGCGGATAATGCGCGGACATTCAGAGGATGAGATCATGGAGTTTGTCGCTTGAGGAGAGAGAGACGAGATTTCCGTTTGACGGAGGGAAGAAGAATTGGGTGATAACACGCGTGGACGAAAAGACTGAAGAGGGAGGGAAATGCAAAGAGCCAGTCGGCAGGAAGAGAGTGATGAGCGGTTAAGTAAAGATGGCAGATCGAGAGAGAGAGACGGCAGGGAAATGCGTGGTCAAGGGTCAAAAAGGAAGAGTGTGGGGGGGGGGGGGGGGGGGAAAAGGAGGGGGAGGTCGGGGGGGGGGGGGGGATAATGGATGTACGGTAGAAAATGGGTCTGTAATGTCAGGGTGAAAATGCGGGGGAATATGGAGTGAATGTACATGAAATAACGTGCACGATCATGAGGATGTTTCCCCTATGGAAGATCCACTCTGAAGATTTTGTCAAACAAGAACTGGATTTATCTGACATCCCAAAAATGTGCAACATCTGAGACCGATTACTCAAAATAAATCCCCACTTTTTAACTCTCGCTCAAACAGCAGCAAATGTTCTGTGTTTACTGATGCAATCAAGGGGAAATGAGAGGGAAAAAATCCTTTGAGCTTGTAGCTGTAAAAAAAAAACTCTTTGACCAACTCACAACTTTGTCATCAATAGAGCAGCACAAGGCGCGTCTCCTGTCTCTAGTTTTTGATTCCGGACTTGTTCCAGGGATGATTAAAGGAAGCAGCCGGGGTGTTTTTTGGGTGGATTTTTATCCTGGAAGGGATGCAATAGAGGAGAGGGTACGAGCAGAAGGAGAGGTGAAGGTTGGGTGAGATGAGACATGGAAATGGGATGATGAGGACGAGCTGGAGAGATGGGAGGATGAGGATAGATGGCGAGACAGAGGAGGTGGGTGCAGGGCAGACGAAGAGGTGACGAGATGAAGAAAAGGGGGAGGGGGGGGGGGGAAAAGGATTCGGGGTGAAGGACGGGTAAAAGTGGTCTAAGGATAAAGAGGCAGACGACAAGGGCAGAGAGACGAGAGGCTGAACGGGTGGGCGTGATAATGATTGGCTCACAAACATGAAATTGCTCGTTTAATGCAAAACATGTCTCGATGAAGGAGTGCGCGAGTGATGCGGTGCGATAGAGATCCACACACAAATATAAACACATATAATCTTCTTACTTGTGCATGGTGCTGAGGGGGTGTCCATGGGGGTTCTGAAGTGGTCCTCCTCACACACACACACCACAGATCCTTCCTCCTCTGAGACGCTGTTGGCCGGGCAGGGAAAACACTCCTGCTGCCTGGAGGACATCTTGTAGGAGCCACGGGGACACGCTGGTGAAAGAGCACACAGAAACACAGCACATTAGATGTGTACAAAAAGAATGCGATTAATCGATGATTCCAGCTTCCCCGAAAGGGAAACCCATTGAAACACATGTTTTCAGGACATTTCTGCACAGGGGATGAACGCATTAATCACCCATTATTGTGTAAAAGAAATTTGAGACCATGAGATATTTCCGAAAGTCCTGAGAGGAGAGTGTAAAAAAATATTCTGGCGATCCATCTTCTAAGTGTGATCTAAATTGTTTCTCTTGATGACAAGTAAAAAAAAAAAAGCAGGATAATCAGGATAATGAGTTTGTTATTGTAATACTAATTTTCGGCCACAAGAGGCTGAAGTGCACCACTACCCAATGTTCTAAATTGGACTATAATCACTTTTAACACAGGGTACATGTATTGTTCTATAGCAAGTTACTTAAATTAAAAACTGCATTTTTTTTCATCTTTTTTTTTTTATAGATGTCAAAAATGTATCCTGGCAACTTTTATTCTTTTTTAGCCGTTAAGAATTTAGCTCAGACTTGCAAAATGGATTTTTTTTTTTCCTCACTTGCCTCTCGGGGCTTCCGTAGCTATATCTCGACAGTACAGCTAACACTAATTCTCAACCTCTTTAAAAGAAAAATCCAAAGCATTTTTTATATAACTTGCATTTTCACTTCTTGGCACAGAAGCTCCAGCACAACACCAAGCACGGCAGCATTTTAAAGCCTCAGGAAAAAAATCTCACTCTCAATTCATGAGAGAGAAAATTAAGAATGAATGGGGAGGAAAGATAGAAAGCGAGTCCAGAGGGAGACGAGAAAAAATGATTAGAGGAGAAAAGAAGTGGATACTTTGGCTGAAGCCATGTGACAAACACAATTCTCACATTACGTGTGCAGCGGCCTGCTACTGGACTGAACCGGCGAGGCGAGCGAAAACAAATGGAGGCAAATGCGCAGGCAATTTGATTTGGGGTCAAATTTGATTTTCACATATCCAACTTTATTTGCCAGTTTTGAAAAGCGTCTCCCTCTACAGCCATCAAACGAATCACCATGCAGTATGAGAGAGGACACGAACCGTGAGAATGTGGGCGGAGCAGATAAGCACTCGTGATCTTACATGTGCAGCACAAAGAATGCACACCGAGCAACAGAAGCCCCAAAAGTGCATGCGTGACACGCTTACGTAAAAACACACTCACAAACAGGTTATTTTACACCCGCCCTCTACGCACTTTCATTTTGCGTTGGAGCAGGTGATAATGGGTGTGAAATCAGGCAGCCGAGACTCTGTTCTCCTCTCTTCTGAGACTGTATTCTAAACAGAGGGGCTACATTAACAGCTCTGGTTTGCTCTCGCCCTCTTTGCCTTCCTCTCCTCGGATCTCTTTTCTATTCTGCCAATAGTCTCTCTTATCCCTTTCCCACTCTTAACACTTTTATTTTTCTCTTCTGATTGCATTCTATTTTTCTCTCCTCATCTGCACCGCTCTTTTGTTTTTGTTCACTCTCCGTCCTCTTAATAAAAACACACAACCTCCAACGAGCTTCCCTATCCGTGCAGATATCCAGGCATTTGATTGGCCGTTTTGTTACCATCTCATTATTCAGTCGTGGCTTCTTGTGAGGTGGTTTCTGTGCCTTGGGCCTGATGCATCCTCTTAACAGAGACTAGGTTAGCGAGTTTACAGTTAGCGTGTTAACTTCATCAAGTTTATAAAGAACGACAGTTGGTAATGAGAATCCATGTTATTCACCAAAAGATAATTTGATTGTTAAATAAGTGACAATGCCCAATGAAGTGGCGTGATATAAGAACTTAATAGATGACGCAGAGTTGAAGACTTCTACAACACAAGAATCCATCTGTTCCCTCTGGGAGGACACCTCAAGGAGCAATTTCACTACTGGACACTTGGAACCAAAAGACAAAGAGAAGACAAATAATTAAAGGGCCAGTGTGAAGCATTTTAATGGCTCCATTTACAGAAATGGAATATAACATTCATAACTATGTTTTCATTAGTGGATAATCACCTGAAACTAAGAATGGTGTTTTCATTAGCTTAGAATAAGCCCTTCATATCAACACAAAGAGCTGGTCCTCTTCGTGGAGTCTGCCTTGTTGCACCGCCATGTTTCTACAGTATCCCATAAGGGACAAACCAAACATGGGCTCTAGAAAGAGCCTTTCAATTTGTAGATCTCTGACACTCTTGTGAAACTGCGGTACTGAGAGCTGCAGAGCAACAAACTGTGGTTACCGCTGGACGCCTGACTTTCATTATTAACGGTAAGAACGGCCTCTGAGCGAGGCAACGATGAGGCTGCCCCTTCCGGCTGGCTAATATCCGCAAGCTAGCCAACTGAGTTGCATAAATCATTAGCTAATGTTAGCAATGTGAGTCAGCAATTTCAATTGTGTGACAGAATTTGAGGTGTGAGCAGAGATTTAGAGGTCTGGAACTTCGGCTAGCACAGTCAATTATGCAGGGAGGAGACGAACAGGACAGTGTGTGAGACGGGACGGGTGAGGTATTCGCACCGGGTGTAAAGACGCACACAAAGCTGCTGTTGGCTTACGAACGTTCATCAAGACAAAAGGACAATAAGGAAGGGGGCCCTCTGTTATCCCATCTCCTTTACAGAACACACACACACGCACAAAAGGCCTGCCATCACACATCCATTAGCAGGCCTCATCAGCCTCTCCTGGCTAGCAGTGTGTGTGCGAGTGTGTTTTATGCGCCCTGTGTACGTGTGCGTGCGCCTGCGTATCCGAGGCTGTAAGAACCTTGTAATCGACTTTCTAATGTCTGTCATTACACAAAGAAAAGCCTCTCGCTTTCAGCTCACAGCATAGCCAAGCATGGGGACATAACAGAAACACACACACACCCTGTGAAGCAGCAATGGAGTAGACTCGCTTCATTCCTGACCGTGCTGCCACTATCCTTCCCTCACCACGCCAAGGACATCAAGCATGAATAGCGCCCGAATCAAGGCAGAATTATGCATAGATCTATGTGGACAGAAATGGGTTTTTACATTCCCTACCTATCATGCTTAAAAACAGGCTATAGCTGGCCACGGTCCTGACTTATCTCTTCAATTCAGCGTGGATACACGTTTAGCCAGCCCACCTTGGAAATGTGTGTCGAATGATAAGGGTGTATCAAGACAATATGTGCTGCTCAGATAACAAAAGGAGCTGGCTCCGTGCGCTGCCCATCACTCTCAGCGGCATCATTCGAAAGGCACGGCAACAGCCAGTGCAAGGCAAGTTCACGTCAGTCAAAATGGGCCAGCGGCCGCCCGCCAACGGGAGGATCTCTCAAATGCGTCCAACAGAAGGAGGAAAAAGACGCTTGTAAGGGAGACCACTCCAATCATTCGTTCATCCCATCTTTGCGATTTCATTGCCAAGCTACGCGTACCATGGAAACTGGAAGTGAGCACGTCGGGGAGAGAAAGGGAGAGGGGTGGGGGGGTGGTGGTTAGAGAAATCTGCCAGGACAGCTGGCAAACCAACTGATCAATTTGTCCTATGTGCCAACAGGGAGCCTCGATTAAATGGAACATGGCAGCACGCACGCACACGCACACACACACACACACACACACACACACACACACACACACACACAAGGTGTAATAATGTAGATATGCGGTGACATGCCAAGTGCTATGGACTATACGGGTGGTGGGGGTGGAGAATGAGGCAGGAGACCAACTGGTGCGAGAGATAGTTAGGGGACACGGAGACACCGACAGACAGACAGACGGTGTGTGAGAGACAGAGAGACGGTAGGCTACTTAATGTACGAAGAATGGACATCAAACAGGGAGGGGGGGGATGGACTCATTCGGCTTGACAGAAAGACAGAGTCAGAAAACAGATAAGCGGTTAATTAAGACCTGCGACGCATACAGATGAGAAACACGGTTAGTAGCAGTGACAGTGAGTGAGACTGAGATCATCTATAGTGGGAACATATGCAACATTGTCCGGCATGTGTAATTCCCGAGAGACTGTGGGAGGCAGGATAAAATGAGAAAAATGAGACTTGGTATGGAATCTAATCAGATAAATGAATGTAAAATGCTCATGATCAAAATGACACTTTGACATATGCCAACAGCTTCACCAGCTAATGAATAAAAACGACTAAAAAAGGCCAAGGAATCCGTATTTCAATGAGCTCACAAATTACTTTAATAGACTTTTGTCTTTGCAGAGCAATCAATTTATGGTTTGCCCTTCCCTTACTTTCCCTTACTTTTCTTTCCTCTAACCTTAAACATGCCCATTAATAAATCACCAAGCACTTAATACAATAAATGTGAGCAATGAATTGTTTCTTCGCCTCCCTGACAGCACACATTAATTAATATTAATAACACTAAAAGCATGCAAAACTTTTGCAAATACCAAAACACACAGACGACATAGTCCTTCATTGGTTTCTGGCTGCACTTTTTGTTAGTTTTTTGCAGAGAAAAGAGGAAAGGAGAGAAAAAGAGGTGATAGCATGAAGCAGAGATACAATGGAGACGGGAAGTGATCCCAGTGGGTGGAAATCAATAATTGAGAGGGCTTTAATTCAGATCAGTGCCCTCCGCGTGAATGATGCTGATTCTGATGCTAATTCCTTCAGCTGGTAGGCAGCTTTAACATCCACAAAATGAATACTCATTACCATCAAACTGTTTGAAGGTCTCTTTTACACACACACACACACACACACACACACACGCAATAAATCTCCAGGTCAGATAAGTAGGCGGGTTGGAGAAAAATGCCTGATTGAAGTGTTTCAGGTTGGGTCAAATTATGAAACTGTGAAATGGTGAGATTATTGTGCCGAGATGAGACTGACTGAATTGGACCAGTTGAAATTGGATTGAACTGGATGGATCCAGACCCAGCCAAAGTCCCAGTTCTAACAAATGGCCGAAGAAGATTGGATTTGGACCACACTGGACGAGGAGACACAG